CTGTGGCTGATTCTGAGAAGAATGGGAATCCCAGAACACTTGTTATGCTCATGCGGAACCTATGCTTGGACCAGGAGGCAGTCATCAGAACAGAGCAAGGAAACACTGTATGGTTCAAAATTGGGAAGGGTGTATGCCAGTAATGTATCCTATCTCCATACCTTTTAAATCTATATGCAGAACAGATTATCCAGGAGGCTGGGCTCTATGAGGAGGAATGTAGCATCAGTCAGGATTGGAGGAAGACTCATCAACGTCCTGCATTATACAGATGACACAACCTTGTTTGCTGAAACTGAGGAGGACCTGAAGCACTTGCTACAGAAGGTCAAAGACTGCAGCCTTCAGTGTGGATTGAAGCTCAGTATCAACAAAGATTCTCACCACTGAACCAATTAGCAGCATCATGATAGACAGTGAAGAGATTGAGATTGTTAACAGCTTTAGTTTGCTTGGCTGCACAATCAATACTCTTGGTAACAGCAGCCAGGAAATCAAAAGATGAATTGCACTGGGAAAGTCTGCTGTCAGTGACCTCTCCAGAGTACTGACGAGTAACAGTGTCAGTCTGGAGACTAAGGTGCACCTGATCCAGGCCATGACTTCACAGTGACTAGCAAATGTGAGGCTGAGAGTTCCGGTTCTGTAGTGCACTTTGTTGAAATTATGGTCCAGATGATCCAGGTAATCCTCCTGGCCTGCAAATGGACTCTGGCTTCATTTGAGCAGGCTCAGTGGGCCATGGATAGAGCTGAAAGTGTTAGGTGCAGTGACAGCTCTGTGTCCTGGGCACAGAATGAGGGCACCGGCTCCTGCGGCCCGAGTGGGCTGTGCCTGGGGCTGTGCTGTTCCTTCACAGGATGTACAGACCACCCCTCCCGGGAGCAGCTGTCTGTCTGGACAAGCTGCCATTAGTGTCAGAGCCCGTTGCCACCAGCTCTGCCCAGTACCTCTGGGCAGCTTCTCATGGCTGAGTCTGTGCATAAGACAGTGGATGAGGCCTCCTGCCCTCTGAGGCTTGGCTGACTCACTCACAGTGTTGGAAGCACAGACTTCACAGGGACTGTTGCTTCTGGTGTTTCTTCATGCCCGGAGACCTCATCTCACTGTTCGTGCAGTTTCCAGGTGTCAGGTCCCGGGGTGGGTGGCCTTCCCTTCGCAGACAGACCTGTCCTTTGGAGCCCCTGAGTCCGGTGTGGGCGTGGAGGCAGTCACCTCATTCCTGTGAGCCCCACAGCACCCCACTGCACCGGCAGGCTCGCCCGTTTCTGGTTGGATGACACAGACTCCAGGTAGTTGTTCCAGAGCGTGCCACCTATAAGGTTAAAGCCAACAGCTCAGTCAGGCTTCCTTCTTGCTCTAGTTTCCATTGGTGCCGACAGGAATCCTTTGTGTTCTCCTCCTGTACCTCACTCCTCAGATGTCTGCCTGTTCATACCCTTCCCAGCCTCATCACCCCGCTCAGCTTCTCCTCTGACAAAAATCCAGCCCCAGCTAGCCCAGTACCTCATCTGGGGAGTACTTGCTGACATGTCCATCACTGGGCTTAACCCTCATATGTACTTAGACTTGTCACTTAACTGCCTGCTGGGAGCCCTTTTTAAATATTAGACAGCAATTTCTAGGGAGGAAAGTGTGTCTGGTTCAATGAGGAGATCTAGGCTTGAGTCCCCATGTCATTCTGTTCTGCTCATGAGACACGAGGCAGTCTCATGAGAGAAGAAATGATGTTCCACGATTGTTTATTTACTAAAATGTCTAATAATACTTGATCTCTTACCATCTCACCAGCAACAGTCAGTCAGTCTCTCTCTATCCCCTCCCCGCTCCCAACCCTCACTCTCATGCTCATTGCCATTGCGTGGGACTGGTCGTAGCTGGCCCTCCAGTGGGTTTTCAGAGGAGGAGATTGCCCATCTTTCTCCCTTGGAGCAGCTGGTGGATTCAAACCACCTCCTTTTAGGTTGGTAGTACAACTCCTTAGCCCCTAGGCTATGAGAGCTCCCTAGCAGTCCTTGTTGTTGTGTACTATAGAGTTGGAACCGACCCATAGCTGACCGTCTGGTGGGTTTTTAGAGGCAGTTACTTGTACGGGAGGAGATTGCCCATCCTTCTCCTGTGGAGCAGCAGACTGCCTTCAAACCCTGTGCCTCTGGGATTGCGCTGCAGCTTCTTGCCACGAGGCCACCAGAGCTTCCCAACAACCCTGCTACTCAGTGTATATATATCAGCTAAAAAAAGAGCTTCAGCACAGACTGACCTCCACACACTGATGTTTGCAGCAGTCTTTGTAGTAACAAAGAGTTGGAAACAACTTGAGTGTTCATCTGGGGACAGAAGCTAAAGAAGCTGTGGTACATTCACACAGTGAGGTATTATTAGGCACCACTGAAAAATGATCGAGAATTTGAAATTCTGTACAACATGGCTGAATCTAGAACTAAGTATACTGAATGGCATAAGTCAGTCACAGAAGTCCAGTTATGGTGTAAGATGACTGTTATAAAAGTTCATGAAAGTTTTACAGTCAGTCATGGAGGTTAACAGGGATGGGAAGGGAAGGAATGGGAGTAAAATTGTAAAGTCGGGTGGAGGGTAGGGCAGTACATGATGAGGGGTTGATTGAGCGAAGCTCCTTGTCCTCAGCGCTATGTGTTCCTGTGGGTGTGAGTCATGTGAGGGACAAGATGACTCCTCTGGCACAGAGCGCCGGTGGGTTTGAACTACCAGAAAGGGCAGCCTGGGGCCAGCAGCACAACTCCCTCCAGACTCCGCCTCCAGAGCCCGTGTTGATTAGACACTGGAATTGATCCATTCCTTCAATACATTGGTCAGTGGTAATTAATGTTCTAGAAAGCAAAATGTCTGTAAATGAGTGAATGGAAAACAAATATGCTTTGTAAATGTGCACTAAAAAAAAAAATTACAATCTCCGTACTGTTGTTTTCTAGTGCCAGTGAGTCGAGTCCAACTCAAAGTGACCCTTTGAATAAGCTCTGACCTCTTATCCTGCACCGTCCTTATCCTCCTTGACACATTTGAGTCCATATGCTGTTTTTATGCCATATTTCTGCATGTAACAGCCTGTGTAAATAGTGCATATGGAAGGCATAGGAGACTGATGGACAAAGGAGTTTCGTGACTTATAAAATCTGCATAATGAATGCATTACTTTGTGTGAAAATAACAGTCATTTGTATATATATGTATGTATTTAAGGACTTCTGGTAGTCTGGTGGGTAAAGAGTTGTGCTGCCAACCCAAAAGCAGGTGGTTCAAATCCACCAGCTGCTCCAGGGGAGAAAGAAGAGCGATCTTGTGCGATTTGCAGCCTCTGAAAACCCGCTGGAGTTAGCCAGTTCCAACTGGATAGCACAACACAAAATATATGAATGTGGTGTGTGTTATTGTTAGTGGCATGTGTTTATGATATGGCATGTATATGTGGTGTCCGCGGGTGTGGGCGGGGTGTAGCATCTTCTCAGCGCTGCAGGGCCAATGTCATCATCCGTCTTTGACAGTGAGGAAATGAAAATCGAGAATTCAAAAGCCTTCCCGTCATCACACCATTGGCGAGCCAGGTTTTCAAAAAGCGCTGCCCCAGGCTACCCCCACCTGGAGGGTGTTGTGTATGGCAGAGGTCAACACCCATTTCTGTAGCAGGTTCCTCCAGGCTTTGTGGGGCAGACAGGGTGTCCCAGCTGTCACCTCTGTCATTGTAGTGTGAAAGCAGCCATAGATAAGCCAAGAAATGGGTGTATTTTCTTTTTAAAAAATTATTATTATTAGGGGAGCTCTGGTGGCCTAGTGGCAAGAAGCTGCACTGCAATCCCAGAGGTACACGGTTAGAATCCACCAGACGCTCTGCC